GGCGGGGGGGGGGCTGGTTTGCGTGGCTGTCACAAAGCCCCGGGCTGGTGTGAGTGGCAGGGCAAAGCTGAGGAATAGAAACTTAATTTTTGCTCAGGAAAAAGCAGTTCGTACTGTTGCAGCAGCCTAGGGACTAAATGCAGCACAGAAATCTCTAGAATGTTTTATGGTGTCTATGTAGGTGCACTGACAAATGTATATGGCAAAGCCTGGGGGGGGGTGAGTACAGGCTCCGTGGAGGGTGGAGGCTGCAGTGATGGGGAGCAGGAGGACGAGGCTGAAGGCGAGGGTGTCACCGCATCCCTGCCCGGGTCAGTGGGGACGCTGCCCTGGCTGTCGGGGGGGTCGGGACTTCAGCCCCGGCTGCATCCTCTGTGAGTCGGGGGTTAGAAGTGGTTGGGTTTGTAGAGGTTAGTCAAATAACTCCATTTTCAGGAACCAGAAAAAAAATTCCTTTGGTCTTTCTGTGTAAGCAGGCAGTGATTCAGCATCACTGAGCTCAGTGTCCTGCAGAAATCTGCCCGGCAGCTTTAGGGATGTTGGAAAGCCAATGCTCTGCCATAAAATGACTTGCATAATGTTGTTTTCTTAGCTGGTTGAGATCGGGTGGATCACGAATTGCTTAGTAAATGTACAAGGTCCCACATTTTATTATATAGAAACTGTTTATTTATGGGAAAGCCATTTATAATGTTTTCTGGAAAGAAGCAATAAAATATAAAGACGTTCAGGCAAATAAAGCCATTCCAAACTGTACTATGATAATATGGTGTCCAAAATGATATATAATGAAAGTACTAGCATTTCCCACAAAGGAAACCTTTCATGATCTGTGCATTTAAAGCAGCGGGCCTCCCACACCGTGCCGACAGCACACCCCATGCCTGTCCTCTTCCCTAGGGTCGCAAGCTGACGACCACATTGCCAGACGCACGGCTCAGAAAATCATCGCCCCGCCGGGTGGACGGTCCAACATCACCTCGCTGTCCTGACGGGGCAGCCCGGGGGCTGCGCTCTCCCCCAGTGCCGCCGGCGTGGTTGTCCCTGCCGCAGCCGCCGCCGGGGCGTGCTTGGGTCCTGCCAGGGCCGGGTCCAGCTGGGAAGGGGACGGTGGGTCGCCCTCAAGCTCAGGATGAAAAATGGAGCATTCGTCAGCTGCCCCATCCCCTTCTTCTTGTAGGTAGCAAGTAGAGTAAGCCCCCCTCCCCGCCCCGAGAGGTAGCGCTCCCATCTCAATTTCTCCCAGTCTGTATTTCTTCAGTAGCTACTCGGAAAGCCCTTACCTTGTGCATGCGGGCACCTAGACGTACACTTGGCAGCATGCTCAGCCGTGCTGCTGGCTGGCTTGTGGCCAGATGAAAAACGAAGGTACATTTTGGCTGGAATACGCTCCTTTCTAATAGCATTGACTGCCCTTTCTAGTCGAAGGACTTTTAACCGATAAACACTTCCGAATCTGTATGGTTTTAATACGGTGGGTTGCATCTTGTCTGTTTGCAGCATCCCCGAGCGGATCTCGACACCATGTTGCCGCGCAGCCCCGGCCGTGCTCCGGGACTCGCCGTTGCTGCGCCCGTGAGCCAGCGCGTCCGTGCGGGACGGCCGCGTGTCCGTCTGTCCCTGCAGCGGTCCCAGCCGCAGTGGGGCGGGCGGCTGCTGGCTGCTCCTGGGACCCAGCGCCGCGGCAGCCATGCCGGCGGGCTGTAGTCTTTCTGTCAGGCTCGTTTTTTAAAGATTATTTATACAGTTTTTCAAGAACCGAGTGTAAGTCTTATAATCAATAATAAGGCTCATTTGAAGGCCAGTTGCATATGACAGACTCTTTTATAAAGGTTATTATAGCCCATTTATTGTATTTAAAGGTATGTACAGTAAAGGTGAACCTCTACGCCACAATGCTATGCATGTACCTCTTACAGAATGGCTCGCCATTCATTTTCTGTTCCTTGCTTTGAATAAAGTTTGTTGGAAATCATAAAACGGTGGAAGCGGTTGAGCCATCTGAGTCAATTTTTGTGTTTTCTTCCTTTGTGTTTTTATGCATGAGGGTTTGTGAAATCGGTTCTGTAAAACCTACAATGACTTGCAGGTTACTGTTACTCCCCTTTGACAATGAAAAGAGGCTTTTTATTAGCTGTGTAGGAATAACACAGAATCTTCTGGTTAGACCTGGCACACTTAACAAGGGCTGCTTGGTCATATTTGGTGTCACACAGCCGGCCTGCCCGCCAAAAGCCTTCGGTTTGCAAATAAAGCTAAAATACCATGAGGGTGGTCTAATTTTCCCAGTAGGTCAACAACACTGCTGATGCCTGTGAGATGCAGATGCAGTAAGAGATGCTGTAACGTGTCGGTGAGATGCAGATTTTCCTCGGGCAAGGTCATGCTTTGGTTTCTAGCTCTGTCTGAAAGCTGGGAACAAAAGGGTTGTGGAAACATGAGCAAGCATCTGCTCCATAGGTGGAAGCTGAAATACTGTTCAGCAGCTCTGGATACACCAACCCACGAGTTAAATATGAATGAATGTATTATCTGAATTTACAAATTTAAACCAGGAAGGGTTTGGGGGTTTTTTTGGTGTTTTTTTTTTTTTTTATTATCTGATCTGACCTACATCTCGTAGCTTAATGCAATGAGCTGCAGTAATTTCTGCATCAAACATATGGGAATGCATTTGTTGATATATCTTAATTGAAACGAATTATTTAATTTCATTTGTTGGTTTTCTGAGTTTTCCGGCAATTGCGCCAAGGCTATTGAACATCTATTTATTTTCTTTCTGAATAGAGTTTTAAAGTGATGGCAGTGGAAACTATGTAAGGAATGGGAAAGCAAAAAGTTACAGTCTGCTGGCAGCAACATCTCCCACCTGCCCAGACATCCACAGGGTGACAGGGGTACCCCCAGCTCGGTAGCACTTAGCAAGGGAAGTTCTGTGATCTCTGTCCTGGAAATACCCTTTTCCAACAGTCAGGCTCATTAGTGAGAGGTACTTCCAGGGCGGTGGGGACCCCGGCAGGCGCCAGAGACACTGTCCCCTCTCCCAGCATCGCCCTGCAGAAGCCGTTTTGGTCCCTCCATCTGCCTCGCCAGCTGAGGGCTCAAATCCCACTGCCCCTTTCCCTTTGCAGGGAGGCTTTGCATTTATTTCCTCGGTCTGGGAGCCGTCAGGCACTGGTACGTGGTAACCCCAACTTCCTAACGCACAGAGCGGGGCTGAGAGCATTTCTGCAGCTTTCCTGGTGCCAGGAGATGCTGAGCAGAGTCCCAGCAGAGCCAGCTGCCTGCTAATGCAGCCAGAGCCTCCGGGAAACGAACCCACCCAGGGCACAAACACCGTCTCTGTTTGGCCCTAATTTCTTTGGACAGCTTTCCTGCAGGCTCTGGGTCAGGCACACGCAGGCGAAGGGGACCGACCGGCGAGACGCTTCGTGCCCTTGACCGAGGGCCCGTGCCCGGCGTGGCGGGCGCCGGCTGGCTCTGCAGCAGCAAGGCACCGCAGCCGCGCTGGAGGGCCCTGAGACCCCAGCCCACGTTTGGAGTGGGGATGAGCCTCTCGTTTCTTAGCAGAACGGCAGTACTATCTACAAAACAGTAAAATTCAAAAAGACAACAATTGCCCAGCCCAAACCAAAACAGAATATGCAATGCAGCATATTGGTCTTAAATGCAGACACATTTACAAGCAGCAGAAAATCGCGCGGTGCTAAAATTGAGCGTGACGGCACCCTGCAGCCAAGCAGCCCGGCTGAGAGCTGCCCGAGGGCTGCAGGGACGCAGCTGCCCCGGCATCGCCGTTGTCTCACCAGCCACAGTGGAGGAAAGTGGGGGCAGAGGGATGCCGCAGGGCTCACGCTTGCTGCGTGAAAACCCTCCTGACGTTTCCCTAAGGGTGCAAATCAGCTGGCAGCCAGACACAAAATTATCACTGCGGTTCCATGCTCCTTTCTGCTTTTTTGCCCAGCTTGTGGCAAACCTTGCCTTGACCTGCTCTGCTGGGTAACCGGGCTCTCCCCAGCCCGGCCTGCGCAGGCATCGGCAGCTGGCACCCGCCTTTCCTTCAGGTCCAACCGTCCAAACCAGCGGCACGATAAATCTCAGCAGGTAAGAAAGGCAAAGTCGGGTGATGAGCACGGGGAGGGCTGGTCCCTGCTTGTCCCACCCCAAGGGTGAGCCCCGGCAAATGCTTTTGTGGCTGCCATGGCGGTTTAAGTCTATCAATCAGCTTTTTCGCCCCCTGTGATTTAAGACCTGTGTGTGGGGAACTGTCCTCACCCTGTTACCTTTGCCTTCTCCCCCCCTCGTACAAGGGGTGCGTGACCCAGCTTGGTGGGTGCTCCGGGTGCCCTTGGCCCTTCAGGGACACACGGGGACACTGTGAGGGGTCACGCCAGAGGCATCAAATCGGTGGCTGGGCACAGGGCTGCCAACTGCGGTGAAGGGCTCTGCAGAGAGCCAAGTTAGGGCTCATATTGATTTGTCTCGTTCCTTTACCACTTCTTTTGAAGTCAGGAAGAGCCTTTGCAGATGCTTTCTACATTGAGATAAAGGAAGCCAGCACATTGCGCCAACAACCATAATTAATAATTCCAAGTACTGATGAGGGATGAAAGAGAAAAAAAAAAAAACAAGAGACCTCCTGAAGTTCCTGGGGCTGTTTTTGTTGAGTTTAACCTACAAAATCCAGGGCTGTGCAGTGAAGTGCTAAAACACAGCAAGCCATAGGTGTGGGTGCTGGGCACTGGGACCCTGCCCCAGCCCCTGCACACCCCTCCCTGCTCTCCCAGTTCATTGCCAGGCACCAGCCCAGCACAAGCGCACAGAGAGACTCGGAGCCGTGCAGCGCAGGTCCCCCCGGGCAGGGGCCGGTGTGGGCAGAGGTGACCCAGGCCGGTGGCCGTGCCCAGGGCACTCCTCATCCTCACCGCGACCCCAAACCCACCATCGAAAGGGCCCTCGGCCCCGCTGCTGTAAAGATAAACGCTCCCTAGGGAATTATAAACACCTTCTAACTGACACCAGCAAGTGGGACACTGTAAAACATCTGGATTCAGCTGTTCCCCTTTTAACGCCTGTTTTGCAGCTTTTAAGGAGTCTGACGGCTGCATTCCCACGTCCCACCCCTGGCTCTGCGCTAGCAGGGAGCGTCCCACCAGCTCTGGGGTCTGGTGGGGCTTCAGAAAGCTTTCAGTGTTTTGATTTTTTTCATGGTTCGTGCCTTCACACAGCCTCATAACCATCAGCTGCAAACGCCCGGCTTTGCCAGGCACTGCACCACGCCACGCAATTTGCAGCAAATTAAAAAATACTTGGCGTACTGACCTGCTCGCTATGCGGCCGTAAAGGACTGCTGCTGCTGGCCGGGGACCTGCCGTCAGTAGCGGGCAGCTCAGACACAGCGGGCGGGTGGTATGTTCTGGCTGTTACACCCACTGGTGTAATCTGGACGCTAAACAAGCCCAGTCTGCAATGTGTAATCAAGAAATGTAATTATAACACCCACTTTTTATAAGATTCAAAGTTTTTTTCTACAGATCAATAACCTGGAAATGACAACAAATACTTGGCAATGTTAAAAATACACATTTATTACTCCACATATGCAATGGCTTCTCGCAGTATCTGCAAAAACACAAACTTGTCATAACTTAAATATTCTGTGACATGGTAAAATCTTCATGCAATAAAATTACAGAAATGTATTAACATAAAATACAAAGATATACTTTACATATATTTCCACTGAAATAACCTAAAAAAATACCCTACCAAGGCATCAGGATTTCAGCACTGTCCAATGTCAAGTTCGTATTATTTGCCTTTTTGCTGCTATTACTCTTATTCTCTTTTTGGCAAGGTATAGAGTAATAAAGAATTGGCAACAGAAGAAACATCAGGACCTGATCTGGCATTTGTATTCTACGCAAAATTCCCAGTGAAGTCTGTGGAATTCAATGGAAACACTTAAAAAATATGCAACTTTGCAAAACTTCATAATACAACAGAGATAAGAAAACAATCTCATGGCAAGGAATTTAAAGAGAATAATTTATAGGCGATGTAGACTTTTCACAGCAAATAATGGCACACCTTGTATAAATCTGTCATACAAAAAATACATGTATTTAAATACTTATATACAGAGAATTATTGTATTCTGGTTGTAGTGGAGATGTAACCCAGAGCTGCTACCAACTTCTTTCAAGCTCTGCATGATGGGGTTTGGTACCAGGAGTTCACGACTTCACTGCAAGTTTTGCTCACATCTGGAGCTGCCTCAGGCTCTAATGCAACAGAGGGAATAAGAGGAGAGGAGCGGTTCAGAGAATTTCAAAGCCACGCGTTTTTCACAGGAACCAGCCCTTTCGCAGAGAACAACCCTTCGCACCGGCCCCGGCATCCTCGGCGCGCGCATCGTGCCGAGCATCGCTAGCTCGGCTCTGGCTGCGGGAGGCAGGCGGCGGGGCTGGCGGCTGCCAGTTCACCTGCCGGCCCCGGCGAGCCGCCCCGCAACAGTGCGGGACTCGGCGAACACCGACGGCACCGGCACCGCAGGGCGGCGTTGGGGGGTAACCCCGCCGCACCCCCGGACACAGCTCCCCATCCCCATCCCGGTCTGTGCCGGCCAGCCGGTGACAGCACATCACCGACGGAGCGGCGCGGGGAGGAACGAGGCTCCCGTCTCCCGCGGGAGTTCAGTGCGGACGGGGTTAGCTTTACAGAGGACATCCCTGGAAGGAGCCGCGGGGACGTGCGGTGCCGACGGGGCCGGCTCAATCAGCACAGCTTGTGACGGGGACACGGCGATGGGGACACGACATGAGAGGGGCCCAGAGAGCAGCGGCACAGCGGGGACAGAAGAGCCCGGTGTATTGAAACCCATCACAGAGATTTTGACAACGAAGCAAACACCTATCTGTTTCCTATCATTTTTCCATTTTCCAGATACCCTTTCCTTGTAATTTCTTCTCCAGGGACCAGGCACAAACAGGCGTCAATAAAACCTGGTCCCCAATGGGCAGCAGTGAAGTTATGCCCATGCATCATTTAAGATCAAAACCGAGTACTTCAGTTATATTGTACTCACGGCATCTCTGCTACTCAGCACAATGATCCTAGAGGTCTGTGTCCTGTCACTTTTCTCGGTGATTGAGGTTTAAGAACTAGATTGAGGCAGAAAGCAGAGTTTCCCCTGGCATGCGTTGCTGGACTTCAGTAGTGCTTCCCAGACAGCCAGAATCTGCCCCCAGTTATTTCACCTGGGAAGGAGCAATTACCTGGTGTCTCCCAAGAAACTTTCCCTGTTTCTGCCAAGGATATTTTGCACAATTTACCCAGTAAGAGTGGTGCTGAAAAGGGAACATAAATGATCAACACGGAGAGCGTTTGGGGTGAGAAACATCCATTTCAGAAGTGAGCCAGCTCCTCCCTACACATACCAACCTCGACCTGAAGGGCCATTTGTCACTTGTCCTAAAGAAAGCGATGAAAACATCTGACTAGACATGTCCTACCAAACTGCCAACTCCTCTCCTGGCCCAAGAGCTTCTGGTTGCATAGGATCTATCTGCATCTCTCACATATGGAATGGTTTGGTCAAAAAATAAGTTACGCTCCTTGTCATCCTGATAGTCCAAACTTTTGTCATTATTTACAGAAAGATGATAAATAGTGCAATGGAGTTTACTGAAAAAACCTACCCATACTGGTGGAGTAAATCATCTGTAATTTATAACTCCTGAATAAACACCTGGTTTTGACCCTCGTTCTGCTTCTCTTGCCCCACCTGAGTCCTGGCAGGCCAAGCGGTGGGTTTCCAGCCCCTGGCAGCAGCAGGGTTACCAGACTGCTCTGAGCCGAAGCAAATCAGAGCCGGTCCTGGTGTGGTTTTGTGACTTTCATCTCAAGCGTTACTACTACGTTGCAAAGTACCCTGGCCATCGCTAGCGGCCGTTGCCGACAGGCACCGTTCCCATGCGGCGCGAGCCGAGCCCGCCAAGGCACGCGGCGGGCGGCGGAGCCAGCAGCCAAGGCGCACCGCGCTGCGCCGGGACGAGGACGGGGACATGGGGTGCGCGCAGAGAGCACGGGGGCGAGGAGCTGGCTGCCCGCGCAGAGAGCGGGGTCTGCTCACCGGCAGCAAACGCGGCCAGAGCGGGCGGCCCATCCGCACACACGCACGCGGGAGAAGGTGATTAGGGTAATTGGGTCACCCTGGGTCCCAGTGATCAGACTGGAGGTTACTGGGGGCAGAGAGGGCAGGTCCCTCCAGCGCAGCCTGGGCTCAGAGCCAGGGTAGGACCCTCCTGCAGCTGGGGAAACGGAGCAGGGGAAAGCGTTTATTTCAGACCTGGCTCACAGAACGCCGGCAGCTCTCCTGCAGCCCGGCAGTAAGGCAGCTCCTAACCGGGCGCGGGCCGTGACGGTGCAAGGACCCGCGGCCGACGCTGGGGGCCTCGTGGTGCGACCCTGGTCCCTCAGCGGGCACGGCACGGGGGCCGGGTGCTCAGCACCCCGGCGAGAGCTGCCGTGTCTGACAGCGTTCACCTGGCTCTGTCCTGAAAATAACTGTGCAACTGGTATCAGAGCTTCGGCTTCCCTCCCCTGTGCAAGTTGTGCCTGCGCACCTGAATGCTTCTTTTGAAGACTTCTGTGGAAATTCGGTTCTGCGCAATTTTGGCCACGTACTGATTTCCACATAAAACTGTGGAAAATAAATGCATCGTGTCTTTCTTCATATAAAATTGTTTTGTACCAGTTAGGCCTTTCTATTTTATTCGCAGAAATGAAAAACACAAAAAATTTGTCCTGAAAGAATCTGCATCTGTTAAAAACATTTTCTATCCATTTTTGCGTTACAACTATACAGTAAGGATGCAAACACTGCAACCTCCTTATGTCTGGCAGCAAACAGATGTTGATAGTTTGAAAGTGAATGCAGTCCTAACGAAATCCCTGTGTACCACAACAGCCGTACGTTGCAGCAGAACCCATGGCTCATTTTTAGCAATAGTAACCAAAAGCCACTCTACAGCAGATTAAGCAACTCATATAGTGAAGGCTTCTGAAACAAGAAAGGCAATATCCACAGCTGGAACAAGTTAAGGAGATCTCCCATCTTATTAAGAAGTTAAAACAGGTATTGGTAAATTATATACAGTACTTTTACTTTACACCGAAAATAAAGTAAATCAAAGGGTGGAATAAGATATTCCCCTCTTTCATAACCGAGCAGCATTGCAAGGTCACCCACTTTGCCTCCAATAAATTCTGAACCTGTGATAAACTGCATCCTCCAAACCCGGACAAACAGAACCAAACCCTCCAGTCCATTTGCACAGCTCCTCGCCACTCATAGCAGCAGCTATGTGAAGAAAGCAAATATTTCAAATACATTCTGCATCTCAAGTACATGTTTAATCATTACCCAGCCCCAGAAGAATTCGTGGAGTGCAGAAAAAACATTTATTTGCCCCAAGTTGGGAAAGATACTCTGACAGGTGACGAGAGGACAAGGACATACCTGGAATGCCCTTATGCGGCAGGACCCGAACAGCTCGAGGCTCCCAGGAGGCTGGTGCCGCCCGTCACAGCCCAGGGAGGCCCCAGGGCTGCTCCAATTTGCACGGGGGATTCCTTGTCCCTACAGCAGCCTTTACTAACAGGGAATGCCAAAGTAAAATTTAAACCACCTGTTCAGCCCTCCTCCCTCGCCACACCTGCTTGATGTCTCTCCTTGTTGTACCCAAGGACGTAACTTCTTTTCTTGTCATCTTACTGTATTAAAAACATGTGCAGATCAGCAATCTGACATTAAAAAAGAACAAGTAAAGAAGTTGATCTACCTCCTCTGACAAGTTGCATAGCAAGTATCTTTACCCATGACAGGCAACCAGTGTGCCGAACTGGCGATCCGTTAAATCCAGGAATGCAGTTCTGTAAGAACTATCTCTTTTGCTACAGCTTTGCAAGACTAGTTGTTGGTGCTCTCCAGTGGTATCGGAGGACAGCCTGTGGTGCTCAGCGCAACCTGAGAACGGGTTATCGGCGCGGCGCGGGCTGGCGACCCTCGCCCAGCGGCTGCAGCCTAGCTGCTGCCCGCGGAGGAGCAGACAGAGCTGCACATGTTCAAATTGGAGGTCTCAGACTCGGCCTCCGTCTCGGCTTCGTCGGTGGTCTCGGGGGGGGACATGGACTCACTTGTCTGCTCTTGGCTCTTCTTTAGCCTGTGTGGAGCAGAGGAACCAGGCATTACGTAGGCATCCCCAGACCAAATGCCCCATAGAAGGAGTGGCGTGAAGGCAGTCTACAGCAGCGAGCGTGCCCCAGGCTGCCCACGAACCACTCCTTGAGAGGTGCCTACAGCAGACCCATGGTGAACAAGAGGAGTCTTTCCAGAGCGCACACACAGCACATAAAAAGGTCATGACAGGGACCAACGTATCAGCAAAACACACTGAAATGCTCTGAAATACTCCGCAATGACTTGCAAGGCTTCAGCTTTCAGGAGCGCTGCCCACCCAGACCTCGGCCAGAAGTGCTCTGTGCCGTGGCCAGGGCAGCAGGCTCCCTGCCACGCACCACGGAGGCCATCTCCTCCTTTACTTACAAACCAAACATTCCCATGGCAGTGTGCTCAAACACGGGGGAAAGCAGCTGCTTTAACTCCAGTGCTTTCACTACCCGCTCATGCCCTGCAGAGGTTTTAGCACGTTCCTCGCCTTCATTTTCCAAACCATCATCCTCTAAAAGCAGGATGGGCGAGAAGATCCAATGGGGAAATTGAAGCAGTGTCACATACATATGTTAAATCCCAGAAGTCTCTCTGCAGCATATTTTATTTAATGGCAGTGATTAATAATCCCTGATCTTGTCTCCCTTTTTGGTCAGAATTGCTTTTCATACAGAGGCAGCACCTGAGCTCCTCGGGTGACATCAGTCACCCAGGGCTAAGCCTGCAGTGAGATGCTCCCGGCCGTGAGGCACTGGCACTCTGATTCCCAAGGGAAGTCAGGAAAAAGGGTACTTTTTCTTAAAAAAAAAATACCCTGTACACTCACTTCTCTCTGTTAAAGATGACAAAGTCTTGCTGGATAGCTTCAAGGCATTCTTGGAGATAGTCATTTTCCTGTTGAAGAAAAACAATACATGCATAAGCAGTCCCATTTGCATCTCATTGCTGCCTACAGCATCACAGTGCTTCCAGCTGTATGAGCCTCCCAGCCACCAGAAACTTCAGCTGAAACAGATGATGGAAAACAGCACAGCTGATTGCCTTCATGGCTTTCACCAGTGGCTTGTTTCATCTGCGGCGAGCAGTTTTCCATAAAACACAGATAGCACACTGTTTTCCAGATACACACAACATGTTTATCTGTGTATTCTGCTTTTGGGAGTGCTATCTGCCCATAAGAAGGAAAGCCAGTGCGGGGGAGAGACCAGCACAAAGCCTGCGTGTGTGAGTCCTCGCAAGAACAAGGCACAAAGCTGCTGCCTTGTCCCACAGACGGCTGCGCGCCGTCCCCAGGGGCTGTGCAGGTACGCTGGCTGCACGCACACCGGGGAAGTTGGCAGCACCCGCGGGGCAGGGGGGAAACACGGGTGTGTGGACAGCCCACACTTCCCGATTTCTGCCTTTATTTTACCTCCTGCACTACTGCTGTCCGGGTGCAGGGACCTCCTCTGAAGCTAGACGCTGCTGCTGCACTCCAGCCGCGGCGAGGGACGGGCTCCTGCCCGGCGCCTGCCTGGGCAGCAGGCAATCAGCCGTGTGTCCTGGCAGACAAAGTGCCCTTAACTATCCTGGCAGCAAAACCTCGGAGAGGTATTTGCAAATTCACTTATTCTGTTTTTTTCCTCCCTCACTTCCCCATTTATTCTTCGTCCTTTTACAGTAAGTCTCATTGATCGCGGCATTAACTCCCACTGAAGAGGGAAGGGATCCATTGCAGTTAATTGGTGCAGACAATGAGACAGGAAAAATCTTGCCTGGCATTCCCTTGCTGCTCTCAGACAGGGAATGGTCCTGACCTCGCTGGCGGGGACAACGTTTGTTCCCGTGGTCTGGGATTTGCACAGCTCAGAGGCACTGCGCAGGGGAAGCAGGGATGGTGGGTAACGTGCGTTTGTTCTCACAGGCCTCACTGGCACACCACCCTACCTGCAAACACCCCTGACAAAACTCTGTTTTCTGCAGGACCAAGTACCTGATCTGCTTTACTCCTGGGACTCGTCTGCTCTGTAAAACCGAGATTCTTCTATTTATTTCCCCTGTGATATAAAAGCACTGTGACTCCCACAGTGAAAAGAAGAAACAAATGCATCTCATCTCTAGCTTAATTTCCCAGCTAATGGATCCCCCTCTGCAGAAAGTGCTCGGGGACACGCTTCTCCCATGCTCACGTGCCAGCCTCCCCAGCCAGTGCAGCCAGACCTCACCCCGGTGCAGGAACACAGCAGAGCTGTGGGGCTTACCCAGCCACACAGCTCATGTGGCAAGAGAAAACACGGGACAGTTACCCAAACCCAGTTGTGCCGGGACCTCTGTTCTCATTTAATTTTCCAGAGTACATATTACTGTGAAAGAGTTTTATCAAACTTGCGTAAGAGGAACATTTGGTCATCAGGAAGACTCTGTTGGGCAAATGTTTTTATGAAAATAAATCTGCAGTTACTGCGTTGTTGCAGTAACTACTGCTATACACCCCCAAATTCAGCAGCTCAGCCTTTTTTCCCGGCTGGCTGTTACCCCAGAACACACTTACAGACTGTGAGCTGTCTTTGCTGTTATCCCTCGACTTGTTCTTCGCAAGCCTCTTCTTCTTCTTGTGCAAGGGCCTCGACTCCAGAATCATCTCCTCCAGCTCAAAGGTGGGGTCGCAGTGCAGGCGGCCCTTCTGCCGGGACACATGACACAGCACCGTGCACATTAGGCACAGCACAGACTCTCTCTTGCAGCAAATACACTCAGAAATTACTTCTCTGTCAGAAAGCCTCTGCCAAATGCAGCGGTTCCTGTAACGACGAGAAGCGGCCCCTGCTTGGGGCCAGGGCACAGATCGCTCCTACTCACATTGGGGACAAAGCCTGGCTCCACTCGCTTCTCGCAGACGTCGCTCCAGACCACACCGGACAAGTATGCTGAGGCCTGAACATCGGCCAGGCAGGAAAAGCGATGCTCGGGGTTCACCGTCAGCAGCTGGGGAGAGAAAAGCATTCCTGTCAGAGGAGAAAGAAAAGGAGCCCAGCAGCACCCTGTCTTTGGCACGACTCAGATGGGTCAGCCATGCAGCAACCTTTCCGTCATGGAAATACATAACTTAGTGTAGGAAAAAAAATACTAGAAAAACTTTCTGGAGGTTGTGAAACCAGATGGCCAAAAATCTGGTACTGTGAGCTCTTGGACCAGTGCGGGTTTGCTCCTCCCATGCCCACCTACAAGGCACGACCCTTCACCGCAGCACCCGGGCGCTGCTGCCCCAGCACACTCCTCCCCATGCCAGCAACAGACCCTGCTCCCTTGTAAAGATGCTGATTCCCCCATGGGCTCACCGTTTTGGTTTCAACCTCCGCAAGTCCTGTTGTCACACCATTTCTGTGACACCAGGGGACACTACTACATTTATCACACGCACGGATTACTAAGCACAGAGAAAAAAAATCAAAATGATCACTTGATCCGCTGAGACACCAGTCTGAGGACAGACCTGATTTTTCCAAGAATTCAGCACCACAGACCACGCTGTACGCTCAGCTGACTTGAGTTACAGCTCCCAGGACCGCTGGAGGTACGCCTAAAGTCTAGTGTGGAGGTACGTCTAATGTGGAGGTACTTCTAACACAGGGTCTGGGTAGGGCTTCCAGAAAATTCTGTGCCTAGTCTCCCCTTGTGAACATCTTCACTGAAGCTCAGTTGATGCCACCCTTGCAGTGCACGCTCAGAGCCCCATGCGTGTCCCTCCTCTCCAAAGCGTGGGATGCTCATGGCGGGTGAGTTGCGCCCACCCTCGCCCCTCTCCAGGAGCCGACCCCCCTGCCTGCCTGTGCCGCTGCCACTGGTGCTGGAGCCACAGCCCACCTCTGGACCAGCTCTTGCCATTTTTCCAGAGCACTTAGAATTTGAGTCCTGACCTCCAGCTGCCCGGCTCGGTTTTGGGCATCTGCAAGCTGAGCACATAAGGTCTCCCAGCTGACGGACACTTATGGTAGGACCTCTACAAAATGCCCATCTAGGACCGTTTCCTTTAGAAAAATGCGGCATAATTCTAGGCACGCTAGTTATAGGTGGTTACAACCTTTTTGCAGAAAATAGAGCCAGTGCCAAGTGTTTTTCCAACGCCAAAGTTAACTATGCAAGAAGCAGGCAACGGTGACCGTACTTGCAGCCTGCCAAGCGCCCAAGCACAGCAATGCTTCTGAAGGGCACGGGGTAAAAGACTGCCTCGACCAGCAGCTGCCGCCTGGGGAACTTTCCAGGCACTTTTTCACACCATAAAATTATCTTCATCATTAAAATGAAAAGGGGGGAATTCCCAATTCCCAAGTAAGGCCGTTCGGACGGCACCGGCCCAGTGGGAAGGAGACACAGCGTGTCGATGCCGGCACAGCCACAGTGCCGGAGCGGGAGCGGGGAACAGGGAACAGGAGCTGGCTCCGGCGGACAGGTGGGCAACGCAGCGCCCGGCATCGCCCCTGGGCGCCAGCCGAGTCCCCCGGCTGCCCCAGCGGGCAGGGCGCAGGGCTGGGGCACCCCAAGCACTGAAACCCCAGAGCTCTGGGGGGACACGGAGGGGCTTCCAGGCCGAGGTGGCTGCTGGCATTGTCCTGGTGAAATGTTTAAATCCTGCCCGGTCTCTAGAAGCCCGACTGCCGCCAGCCCAGCAGATGGCAATGTGAACCTGCTGAATGCTCCACTGCAGCCATAACGAACAATGCTGCTTCTCATTAAAACAAAATCTAATTATGTAAATTGTCCACCCAACATTAACTTAGATCAGAGTCACTTATTTTCTGTCAGCACCATCTATATCTTTTTTATAGCATACTCACCAGCTACTTTTCTGAGCTCTCAAGCAAGCAGAAGCTAAAACACAGCCTCCACACCAAATCAACAATTTTCTCGTGTAGCAGTACAAGGAAAGCAGCAGGTTGTCCAATAGATATGGACCCCTCCCCCCCGAAAATTCTCACAACCAAACACACCGAATCCGACCCTTTGGACTGGCAGAACTGTCGAGAGGGAGCAGCTAACGCAGCAGGGGCAACACATGGTCCTCCATCTCACAGGGCCGTCTCAGCCACAGTTGCTGTCTTTTTAGGTAATTATGACGACTGAGAGGGATGCTGGAAGGGCACAGCTCTAGCCCAGGTAGGAATGTGATTGTCTCACCAAACCCAGCCTTTATGCTTCCCTTGATATCAAACATAATGCATCTTATTACAGGGATAATAAACAAACAAAACAAGATTAATCTGTGCTTAAGCCTGAACAAAGTCATAAAAACTAGTCCTATTTCAATTTTACATTATTTATTAACATGCTGAAATTTTCCAGCTAGTCCCACACGCACTGTGGCTAACGTATAATGTAAATCACGCCAGCAGGACTATTTACCTTTCTTAACAGAGCAACGATTTCTTTTGACCACGCAGACGAGTACTGAACGCTCACAGTACTGAAGAGCTGAACTAAAGACTCCACGGGGTTGTTGGAGTGGATGTCATACGGTCTCTGGGGGAAAAAAGCAGAAAGATGAGAAGAAATTCCCTCTCCTCTCTGCAGTCAATCAGAAAGCGTGTTCTTAGGCCTTGGACCATCCAGGAGCCCTACCCAGCCCCGCAGCAGTTCGTAAGCCATGATTCCCAGCGACCACCAATCAACCTCGAAGGAGTAGCCCGTCCCGCCGTTCAGGAAGGAATGGAAAATCTCCGGGGCTGAACAGAAAGGGCAAAATGCAACAGGTTATTCGTTGACATCAGTTTGTTTCTATTCCAGTATTTCACAAAGTCAGTATGTAAACCTTATGGTTATTTTTATGCACTACTGCCCGAGGGGAGGCTTTGCAAGCCAGGGTGAGCCGCAGCAGCAGCAGCAGCATGCCTGCCCTTGCTGGGCAGTGGCATTATCGGGCGCACACGGGGAGACCCCTCCCAACCCAGCAAGCCAGGGATGGTAGAAACCCGGCGCCCACCGGCACGCACCAAGTCCCAGAGCAAGGAAGGCAGGGCGGGATGGGGAGGGCGTGCTGACAGCAATTAATTTACTCCGGCAGTTTCACTTTTCAAAGGAGCAGGCTCTGCTGAATGACTTGGGCACATGCATTAATGTGCTTAATTAATTCAATGCCTTTGTCACAGACAGGCATTGTCAGGCGGCATGTGGTGAGTGCTCTTGAAAGGTAAAATACAGATGTAAGGAACAGCTATTATTTCTTACCCATGTATGGCTTTGTTCCAGCTAATGCAGTTGCTCTTTCACCGTCCCTAATTATTGTTGCAATATTAAAATCTGTTAAATGTGCATGACCTTAAATAAAGACACATTTTAAGAAGGAATTAATTGCAATGCAGAACAGTGGCAATATAGAGTCAGAATACATTTGTTTCATAAGCTTCTGCCCTCGGACAGTGTAGCATGGGCACAGGCAGGTCAGGGTCAGAGCCCTCCGAATGGCCATAACAGATGCTGAAGCTTTCCCAGGCTGTCAGGCTGGCTAGGTGATTAAATGGTAGCTAGCTTTGGGTCTTGATTTTAAATCACACTTGGAGCAAACTAGTAACCTACACCAGCTCCAGCACTTGGTCAAATTGCTCCAGCCAGAAGCTACAGTCAGTGAAGATGACAACAGGGAAACACTATACTAAGATATTGCCTTGGTCATATTGATTAAAACCCTAGAACTGTTTTTGATGAAAGCCATTGAACCATGACTACCCCAGAGTCCCAGAGCTAAAATAGTGCTGCCACTCTGTACAGACCACAGCAAATTTGGACACGCCAGTTGAATGAAATCATAACAATACTTCCCAAACCCTAAGGCTGTGAGAAGAAATCATTAAGATATTTCAAAAAGTGGAACACCTTCTCTCTGTTTCTACTTTCTCTGTCATCAGGTCTGAAAATTAAAATTCAGAATAGGTCATTATTTTTCAAGCCAGCCTGGTAAACAGAAAACCCAGCCATTTGCCCTTCTGGAGGCTACTTTCTGCTCTCTATCTACAAGACAGTTATGAAAGTGGTGTGTGAATCACAGACTGCCTTGTCCTGTGAAGTCTTCCCTTACGTCTCCTTTTTCCCATTTATGTTTGGGCTTTATACCCTGTGCTATTTTCTAATTAACTTCCATGCAAGTGCAAGCTTTGGTTTTGATGAGGCTTCATGGTAAAACTCGGATGGTTTGGAGCCTGCTGTCCTGAGAGATTATGTCTTTTTTTTATAAGACCTAGTGCTGGAACAGAGGTCATTATAGGATGTCCTCTGGTACTTCTCCTATGTAGGCCACTGAGACAGTATTACCAATAGATGCCCTCATAAAGGTTTCTGAACTCACTCCACCTGGCTCAGCCCAGATCCATACCCCCCGGGGAGACATCAAAACTAGCTTAAAAGTATGTGCGCAGATCACTCACTCTATAATTCAATAAAGTCAGTTCTTGCGCTTTGTGCCCTCCCACGATGCCAGGTACCGCAGTTCTGGCATGGGCAACCTGTGCACTGGGGCACTAGTGAGGAAGGAGGCAGAGTGTGGATGAAGCAAGGTGGGGGTAACGAGGAGAGGGGCTGCCCTTGGTGGATCTTCCCTGGCATTACAATGCACAGGTACGTTCAACCAAACACCAATCAGTCAGAAGGAGTGGTTCTTTTCCCGCACTTTTCCCAGATAGAAAGATGCATGCACGGTATTCAAGACTGTAAAGAATCTGTCCCTTGAATGAAGGAGGCAGACAAAGCAAGGCAGAGAGATCCTACCTTGCTCATCGAGGAGGATATTGTCTGGTTTTACGTCTCTGGAAAAAGAAGCAAGGTTACAGCAAGATGAAATCTCAGTCAGATCAAGAATGCAACTCAACAACAAAAAAACTGCAACTTTTTAATCTATCAAAAATTAGGAATGAATAAAACAAAAATACCCTAACATTAGACAAGTTCCTTCATGATGGACTAGAAATATACTTTTCCTGGGCAACTGGGCAAAAAAGTGGGAGCATTGGGCTTGTTCAGGCATAATTTCCAAGGAAAATTAATAACACAGTACAGGGCCTATTTCTGTGAAGCCTTTCATCGCTTTGAAACCCATCCTGGAAGGTGCCTTCAGCCCCCAGCAAAGCATCAGGCTTCCTCCAAGTGACGGGGGAGCAGGACCAGCAGGCGGACGGTGCCCAGGACCAGCACTGCCAGTGTGGTTTAGTGCCAGCTGTTCCCTGACTCAGGGGCACCAGTGGCATTAAGCAAAGACAGCATCACCCACCCCAAAACAGCCGTGGGCAGCGCAGTGCACAGGCAGCTCCTGCCAGCTACCAACTGCGAATAAGAGACTACATGGTTACCTGTGGATAATATGCTGACTTCGTAGGTAGTCGAGAGCCAGCGCCATCTCACAGATGTAGAGTTTGACCGTTTCTTCCGTAAACTGAACGTTTTGCTGCAGATGATAGCGCAGGTCGCCACCGAGAAGCAAGTCCACCACCATGAACATGTCCTCCTCGTCCTGGAAGGAATACCTGCGGGACCAGTGGCATGTGAGCGAGCGGGCTGAGTCTCACAGGAGTTATGAAACCTAGTCAGGCTTTTTCCCCCTCCTAATTACACAGCTCCTGTGAAAACTGCAAACAGTCCCACTACAAGCATATGCCAGCATCGGTGCTTACACCTTTCTAATTAAGCAAGTGCAACTCAAGACGCTGTCTTGTTTTTTAACCTATTGCTATGCTAAGCAACACTTCCTTTGAAGAGGGAAGTATCCCAATTAACTTCCCCGCGCTCGCCCTGCCACCGTCACCTCCCTCCCGAGCGCTGCCACGTAACCCCACCAGCAGGCAGAGCTGCAGGCAGAGGTGCAGGCAGAGCTCGGGGCTTTGCTAGCCAGTCACTTCAGAGAAACTTTGCATTTTCAATTGTGAACACTCTGATAAACCTACTTAAAATATCTCTCCCTGTCCTGAAAATGAATTGGAAAACACAACTGCTAATTTAACCATAAAAAAACAGAAAAAGAGATTTATATTTACTGTAGAGTAAAACGCCTCTCTAAATCTGCAGTGGATCCCACAGGAGACTGACAGCAGTGAAGATACACTACAAAACAAAGTTCAATTGTTATATTTGGTGATAGTATTTCTAAGGAAAGAGTATGTGGGACTGTATAATGCTTATGAATCACACACTTCTGCTCTCATCTTAAATGTAGGTTTATTCTAAAAGTACGAGCTGAAAGGGAAAAATTTGCTAAGAGAGCAAGTTTTCTCAAGAATTTAATTACTTGTTGGAAAAAAATATTTGCAATTGCTAAAATGCTGAAAAAATAAATATTAACCGATTTGGCTCTTCTGGAGTGACCGATCAACAAAAAGTATGTAAAGTATTACCAACTTTCATCACTTTCAGTATAAAACTTTCTGAATTTTTTAAAATATTCCTGCCCACCAGCCTGCCGCACGTCCAACATCGCCGGGGAGGGAAGGGATGCCTGTGGCCAGCCAGCTGCCCAAGGCTCAGCCTGTCCGGCCACCCAAGGTGTGCAGCTTCCCTGGGAAAAACTGCTGCTTCTGCCCCTCTTCTGTCTCTGTGAAATCAGGCAGCTGTTCACGAGGCACTGAGTCTAGCCTTAAAAACAGATTTCAATAGTAACATAAGCCTTGCAATCACTGAAGGAGATTACTGTGCACTGTGCATTGCAGATGCACGTCCTTACATTTTTTACATAATATATCATTTTTGCTTACCCCTTATTTTACAATTAAGCATGGCCTTTATTTTACAGTTACTATTTTCTCCTTGTGGTTGTGGCTGCACAAATTTTTAGGCAATCTCAAAACCCACTGGATTGGAAAAAGTGCTTACCTGCCTTAATGACACTCTCTAAGCCACAGCTGCAGAAGCCTGCCTTTACAAAAAGCCATGCTATTGTTTGAAAGAATGCATTTCAAACCATGCCAAGGGTGTGCAAGACACTGGGGGAATAAATCCTAGGCAAAATTTTGAGCAACCCAAGTCTCATATACAGGAAGAGAAGGGACCACTCTTCTTTTCCCTTCTCAGTCTGTCATCCTCTACTCAGTGGGCTATCAAAGGTTTTCCATCACCTCTCATAATGTCACTCTTCCTGCAATCTGAGAATATAAGCCATCAACTCCTTGTTTCTATCACCCTGCAATGTGTCCTCTATTTGCTCTTGCCCCAGCTCCCTCCTAGCAGTGATCAGAGATGCTTGCTGGCACAGGATCGGTTTGTGGCATGCTGGTTGACCATGGGTGAAGACGTTGGATTTTCTGATCCCTGCCCCACATCGGGCACTCCCTCACAGGGCAGGGGAGGCAGAGAGAGGCTGGACCACCCGGACCCCCAGGCAGCAGGAGCTGGGAGAGGATCATGAGGCTGACTGCTAAGGTCTCATTCCAAACTAACCAACGATCTTAAGATACGATGCACTCTTTTCTAAAACTTGTAAATTAATTTTTTGTGCAAAATTTGATAATGATATATGTGAGCTCTAAAAGGATATATTTTACATGGCCAGTGAACGTGTTGCAAAGCATTTTTTGCCCTTAGTCATTCTCCAGCAAAAGGCCACGCATCTGATAATCTGAAGAGCTCTCATAACTTTTTTTCAGTAATAGATCACTAAAAATAGTTACATTTCAAATTGCTCAATAGTAACTTCATTGTGTGCGCACTGGCAAAAACTATCCTTGTTAGTCAGTAACGTTTTAGGGTCTAATTTAAAAAAAAGTCCTCAAATCAGGCTGAAATCTAACAAAGAGCTTTAGTTGGTAATGCTTTTGAAACACGTCCTGTCTAGATAGTCACAGTAAAAAATGACATGGAGTGCATCTCCTTGGCTGCCCTACAACCATATTAATTCCCCCACCCCACCAGCATCCCTCAGTGTACGCCTATGCAGCTGCCTTTGCAGTGCCTGCGCAGACCTAAACATGGTCAGGAGAGCTTTAAACCACCCACTAAAATGTCTTGAGTTAGGACCTCTCTTAGTAACACTTTACTGAACACACTGGCTACTGCTGAGAGCAGTTCTGTTTAAACTATTAGCCAATCTCTGCAAGATCGAGTCCTTTAGAGGGACCAAATACTGTGTAAAACACTATATATTGTATAATTTTTGTATTAATAAAAGTTATAAATCATAATCTCTAAAAATGCTAGTTTCTTTGACTTTTCAAGCTGTTATTTGTTACAAAAATTGGCCCCACGCAGTATCTGATTCACCACAGACTGTCACAGTTCTCAGTATCTCCATGGACATGAAATGGACCATTTCTTTAATGGCAATCACCGGGAGCATCGTACTGCCACAAGACACCTTAGTTGAACTGCACACCAACACACCATGGTACAAAAATACTTTATGGTTAAATTGGCAGGGGGTTCCTTAGGAGGGACCTGATAGGGGTAGTTGCAAGAAGGCTGTGAAAAAAACCCAACAAACACACAAAGGTTTTTGATGGAAAAAGAGAAGCTAAGCTGTTTTGAAATGTTTGATGCCATAACATATGGATATCTTCCATACTATGTTTCCTGAATGCATTTCACGTTATCACGGACTTCCATTGTAGCTGCTCACTGGGAGGCTCCCACGGACATCCAACACCCCAGGAGGACGGGGAGAATGGGGCTCTGCGAGCACCTGAGGGCAGGCAGCCCCAGAAGGCAGAGGGAAAGGAGCTGCTCACCAGAGATTCACCAGGAACACGTGCTCGATTTCCTGCAGGATTTCCAGCTCTCTGAACACATTGCGAACCTCGTCTCTTTCGATGCACTGCTGTTTGTTCATGTACTTCATGGCATACATCTTCTCAGTGTCTCTCTTCTGCACAATACACACCTAAAGTACCACAGAAGGGGAAGGAAAAAAGAGATTTAGTAAAATGCTTCATATCCTCATTTGCTGCTTTACCAGGCTGAGACCCACACCGCTCAGCACTTCTACCCCGCTATCGAATATTCCTGATCCCTGGGCTGTGACTTGGGATCTGCAGACACCAGCATCCCTGCTCCAAGTGCAGTGCCCGTTCACTCATGTTTTGGGCACTGCCCCTCCTCACCCAGGCTGTCTTTCGCTGCACAGCCACACAAGAACTTCCTCGAGGATGTGACAGCCGGCTCCAGGGAGAGCTTTCCAGCAGGGAGAGGTGTCTGGGAGCCGTGGGAGAGAGCTTTGTGCTCACTGCCTCCGAATGGAGACCGGCTTCGGGCAATGGTGGGGCTTCTCTCCCAGCCTTGACTCCATTCTGCTCACATCCGCCGGCTGCCAACCTCCGGCAGATTGGCTTTAATCTACTGCATATGTAGCTGTGCTCAGAAAGGTCAAAATAATATTAGTTGTTTTAGCAGAAAGCGATTGAAATGTACGTTTGTTAACAACAAACATCATGCCCCTAGAAAGGCAGTGGTACTCTGTCCCTGCGAGGCACAGACCCCCCGCGCACGGACGGGTTTTTGTAACCCCAGAGCCCCCCCTGCGCAGCCCGCCCAGGCTCCCAGCCCCACGCAGCAACAAGCCATCGCGAAGGGGGACGTGTCCTTCCCCAGGCATGGACCACGCTGCGGACCACGCTGCCTGCCGCTGTCCGGCTCCCTCCTGCCTCCCGCCCCTGCCCGCTCTGCTCCCACCACACGGACGGGACAGCCTGTTCTCACGGCCGGGCAAGCAGGGGTCCACGGTGGGTCCCCCTCCCCACAAAACGTCCGCTTCCCACCAGCTGCTCGCAGCCATCCCCCTCCCGGGATGCAGAGCCGGGCCGGCCGGCAGCCCCTGGCCTGGAGGGAGAAGCCGGCCCCTGGCCCCGGCAGCCGCTCGGCCGATGGGCACAAAGCCCACTGGGCTGGCACGGGTTTCCCTGCCGGCATTGCCTTGGGTGTGCCTCCCTCGGTTCTTCTGATACTAACGACACCTTCATTACCAAGGTGACTATCTTTAAAAGAGCTAATTAGTTATCAAGGTAACTATTTTTAAGTGAACGAATGGAATTTCTACAGCTGCTGTAATTACATCTGTCCTCTTTTAATTATCAGACGTGCTCACGATTACAATGCGCCAGATATATTTTCATTGAAAAATAAGTAATTTGGCATTTTGGTCATACAGCCTTCATCCAGAGCGGCACAGGGAGGCTGACGTGGGGGTGGCTTCAGGCAGCTCCTTAGAGAGCAGGTCACACTTACACAGCACAGGAGCAAGTAAAGGGAGCTTCTGCAGACAGCAGAAAACATCGCAGACAGACGGGAGCCGCTGAACTCTTCCACGCTTCTAAAATACTGCCATTAATAACCATTTGCAAGTGCTAATGGCGCACAATATAATATCATCGAGGACACACTGCAGCAAGAAGGTGACAAAATAATAGGTGGTTATCATTAGCCTGATAAAAACATCCCAATTAGCGATGCACGCTGAAATTACGGGGATTATTTTGCAGTCGTCATTACCATTATGGTAAGAACGGAAAATTATGTATTGAAATAACTCCACGCACACCTCAGACCTCAAGTTAAAGGCTCATTCTCGGGCAGCTTGACCTGAGCAATTTTCTCTGGGTCGAACTCACGCTTGCCTGCAGTGGCACCAGCAAGCCCGACGCCCGCAAACGGCACTTGGTCCTGAGAGTCATGTCCTGCGCTGGCAGCTTCGCCGAGGCAGGGCAGCCTGTGCCCCCGCACACCTCTGAGCTATCGGGTGAGAACGGGTGTCCCCAGCCCCGTCCCCCGGCAGGCACGGTCCCCTCCGGCGTCTGTGGGTGTGCAAAAGCTCATCGGCTACAGCTGCCAGGGACTGTTCAGAATACAAAAATGTAAGGCAAAACCCTTGCTTTGTGCAAACTTAATAATAATAATGAACTACCTGGCACAATGCAAGGCACCAGCAGGATCCAACCACTGCCTAAAGCAGACTAAACTGGTTGTACATTTAATAAACCAGGCAAAAATAACTTCATATTTTATAAATTCTTCGAGCAGAAAAGACCTAACCATATCCCTTTAAAACACGGTCATTGCTACATAACTTCTCTAAAAACAAACCTTTGAGTAACAGCCACCCAGGCGCTGAACAACATTCCTTCCTGATTTCAGTTTATTTCGCATTATAGCTAGAAGCTCATTAATTTCTAAATATTTTTTTTTTTAGGTTGTGACTTGCAGTACCTTAACAGGCATTGCATTTTATATTTATGTCATTTGCTTTTTGTTTCTCTGCAGGGAAAATGGAAACCTAGTACAATAAATGAGAAAATGATGAAAACTTTTTGTACTCTGTAATCATAATAAATAGTTTTCTGAAATGGAACAGCATCACCTACATACAGAGCAATGCCAGTTTCAGGCGCTCTGGAAATTTTTGTTCTCTCTTTTCCGGAAAAGAACACTAACGTGGGCGTTGATGGAAACGTCCTTCTTCCAGCCAAGCCTCCCATAACGCCAGGGGAGCAGGGGCAGCCACGTGGGATGAGTGGGAGCTGGCTGACCTGTGCAGGGTGGCCTGGGGCGCGTGCCTGCAGGCGATGCGCGGTCCCCACTGCGGTGCTGCCCGACGGCACGGCTCTCGGGGCAGCGCACCCCGCGGCCGATGGACAACTGGCGCGAGGGGGCACTTGCCCGGTGCCCTGGCTATGCTCTCTTTGTACCCCTATAGTTACCACAGCCGGTAATAGTTAATGGTCACGTTAATACAGCTCTTGGCGGGGATCTAACGCGAGTCGAATGAACGTCAGGACCGGTGCCGGTGCTGCCCCGGCCACGCTCGGCCACTTAGGCCCTTTGCCACAGGCAGGAACCCTTCATAAAACGCCCCTGGTTACAGAAATGCGCCCCCCCCCCCGAAACGCCAGAGCCCCAACACCTATCTTTTCTGTTTTGTGCTTCTCCACTCATGCATCTGTTCCTGCGGAAGGAATAAACATCTACTTGGTAATAAGTCAGAGTGGTTTTTTAAATTGATATCAATCCATTTTCGAGCAGATCTACAATGCGAAGCAAGGCAAGAAAGCAGAAAGAAGAGACTACTTTGTCCTCGTTCTGCATAATGCGGTCCCTCGCTGCACAAAGGAAATTTTCAGTGGTTAAATACAGCCATTAGAAAAAATTGTATGTAATGCTGCCAGATTTGCGAAGCAGAAGGCAGGCATCAGCTGGTAGTATATTGCTCAAGACATGGCACATAAAAGATTTAATAGAGTCCCAGATACCCTGAACATTCAGCTGCTGCCAAATGGTTTGTATACAGCTGCCTTTGCTTTTATTGCATTAAAAGCATAAAGGGTTTGGAGCTTGCATTTGCGATTCAGACATGAGATGTGCATTTAACATCTCCCAGTTCGATCTCACTTTATGGGGCCCCAGACAATGACAACGCCCGTATTGTCACCATAGCTGGCAGCTTCTTCTCACCTGAATCTGGGACAATCTCGGTCTTCACTCAACAGCCCCAGCTATCTCATTAATTTAGAGGGGACTAACGAGAAGCGTTGACCTAGGTGATATTGAAAAAGTAACAGGCGGGTAAAACTGACTCTTGGCTTTGAAATACTCACCTTTCTTTAAGGTAAGAGTTCTCATTAAAAAACGCAGTACATTAACAGAAGTGTTCAGAGCTGCCTCTCCACTTTGTGCACAAAGTTGGGTTTTATCAGCAAAAGCAGTCAAGGAGCCAGCCTGACTTTGTTCGACTTTCATGAGCACCCAGGAGATTTTCGGCACTGCCTCTCCCGCCAGCAGACACGCGGCACTGCTCCCTGCTGTCATGCAGTAGCGCCTGGAGAATGTCCCCAACCTCGTTTGCTGCAAAGCCGTCCCTGTGGCTTCCCATTGCCAAAACATCTCCCCCTTGGTTGAGCTGACAGTAAATCTCTCCATTTAAACTGCCCCAATAATCGGTGAAGAGAGAGAGGTGTGAGAACAGCCAAAAAGGCAAGGGTTGGGAAGCCACGAGAAACCCCCGCGGCAGGAGCCAGGCACCCCACGGGGCGCTGGGTGCAGGGCAGCAGGGTTGCATCCCTCCACCGCCGCAGCGCCGGGTGCCTCCCGGACTCCTCCGTGCTGTGCCGCGCTGAGCTCTGGCAATGCTCCCACAGGGCAAATGGACACCGCACGGAAACGTGGCACAGCACCCAAAGCTCACCTGATTTTCCCATAGCATCTCAAAATCAAAGAGGGGGACAAAGGGACCAGCTTTAATTTGAGAACACACGAACAGCAGCCTCTGGAGTGGGAACAGCTGGCACGGCTCTGAACCGCTGCCCTGGAGTCAGCTTGGTGGTGGCTGTTTTCACCAGCTTCCAACTGATCCAGGGAAAACATTAAGAATTTCAAATATCAGACCACAATTTAAGGTTTAGAAATAAAAAAAAACATAAAAAATTAATCTTGGGAGTAAACAAGTAGAACATATCTGAGGGACTTACACTTTTGACTGGTTCGTATTCTACTACCACCCACACCAGGACTGTAATTTGCAGGGACGAACCTTGCTCTTTTGGTAGGAAGCATATGCACCATTTACACTTTCACACAAATCTGACTGTAGGATAAAGTCTCAGGATAAACCTCAGTCTGTAGGATCAAAGCACTCTCTGTCACACTGAAGACTAAGCACCAAAAGCAGAAACAAAGTCCATAACCTGCCAGAAATTACTTGGCTTCTTATTCCCCCGCATCACTTATTGAGCTGTTGCTTACAAGAGTCATTTCTATTCTCCACCCAACCATGGTGTAAGTTGGCATGGAAATAGAGAGCCGGGATTTGGATGTTTTCTGGTGTCCAGGGGACTCAGACATTATGTCCTTTTTGGAAGTTTTTTTTGTTCTTGTTAATTTAGGATACTTTTCCCA